CTTCTGATGCTGCTGCTGCTTCTGATGCTGCTGCTGCTTCTGATGCTGCTGCTGCTTCTGATGCTGCTGCTGCTGCTTCAGCAGTCTCTCCTGATTCTCCTTCGACCACCTCTTTGCTAATCTCCCCCTCGGGAGCAGGCTCATCTTTGGCAGGTTCTCCTTCCGCCTGGCTCTCTGCCGCTTCGCCTGTGACCTCCAACTCCGATACGTCCATTGCCATGCTGTCTTCTGGATCCTGTTCATCTTGGTTACCAGTGAACGGGTTCTCACCCTGACGAAATAAAAGAATTGAGAAAAATAATGACATTTTGACCCACTGCACTCATGGTCAGTTATGCATGTTTGCATCAGACAGTTTCTGCACGCTACAACCCATACAGCTGATGCAAACCTCCAAAGTGTTATGTTATTAATCAGATTTTTTCCAAGTATAGTTCCCTTTTTTCTTAACAGTGCATTTACTGACACGACTGGTCTTTTGTTCTTTGTGTTTACAAATAAATAAATAAATATATACATATAAGTAGTTGGTGCATATTTATAGTCACATTTATTTCTGATGCAAGCCCACACAGGACTCTGTGCATACCTTGAGGTAGCTCTCCAGCTTCTTGCCAATGAGTTTGTGGTTAAGGATGCTTCGAGCAACCGACAGACTGGCCCGCTTGGACTGCTCCATCATACCCTTCAAATAAACAACATTTCCATGTCAGAACAAAACATCGTAAACAATAGCCTCAGCTCTGTGGCACCATTTGTAACATTAGTGCAGGACTTTGCAGAGTTACTGCATTTAAAAAAAAAAATTAAAAAAAATAAGGCACTGCACAAACGGAGTGGATGGGACAAACTGTTACCCCATCGTCTGACAGTCTGAAGTTGTAAATGTTTTCTGATAAGGCAGAATCAATATTAGCCAACCTCTGGCCTTCAGTGCTTCAGTGAAAAGGTCAGCAGCAATGTCTCTACAGAAATCAGGACTCAGTTTCACGCATCCTACAAACATTGCTGTGTAAGCAGCTTCATATACAAATCATTTTCTTCTACTGTCTACATCTGCCAATTAAATGAAACATTCTGCAGAATGACAGGACGGTGTAGTTGGAAGAAAACAGTTACTACATGAAACTGGTCACAACAACATATGTGGACTTTCTCAATGATGCTGAAATTATTATTTCTGGATGCACTGCGTGCTATTTAGATCCATTTATACCGCCGATATCTCCAGAACCAGACAAGCCACACCAAAATAATAACGATGATACTTGAAGGACGGCGATAAAAATAAAAGGGCACTGATTTGAATGTAGTATTGTCCTTTTAAACATATAGGCTTGTGGGGCAGTCCATTTGCAGAAGACCTGCTGTACCTTGCGGTTGTAGTTGTGGTCAGGAGACTTGATGTGTTTCTGTATCAGGTGGGGCTGCATGGGAATGAAAAGGTCACATGCTGCACAGTGAGCAGCTTCCACCTTCCTCATAAAGTGCTCCATTCCAAGCTCTGTACAAGCGTGAGAGAAATATCTGTAGTGAGCAATCTATGCGCATCTTCAGTTCAACACACAACAGGAATTTCTGCTTACCCCTGGTGAGGTCCTGCTCTTTGTACACCTGGCAGATTGCAGCACTGTGGTTCTCCAGCTGGCTCACCCTCTCCTCTGTCTTCTTAAACTTATTCTGCAAATACTCCTACAAACGAAAGGGTTTTTTTCAGTTTACAGTTCATGAAACGTTTACCTCGCCCAATATCTTTACTCTTGCATACATGTATAAATCACGCGTCGGCTCTGGAAGATCACTGCATAAATATTTCAGCAGATTCAACCAGAAGTGTTTTTCCATTTAACCACACTCCAAATTGTTTTAGTATATTTACAACAAGCA